AGAAACAATCTGTACGAGGATGTGTCAGCCATTGTCTTTTGACTACACTTTCATTTGAAAGGGATTTCAGAGGCTGTGATCTTAATTAAATCTCAACTGACTCGAATAATGCATCTGAAAACACGCAGCGTTGCGTAACCGTGTAAAGCTGGTGAACTAAAGATCACGGGCGCACAGTTTATATGAACAGCGGTCGTAAGATGTTTCCGGGAAAGGTGCAAACATCGAACAGTTGTGTGTAGGACATCACTCACCGAGAATTTGGTTTGCTTGGTTTCAGAACTCAAAATACCTTGTAAAATACATACTTGGAGGTGTGGCTTGAAAAGGTCAGAAAGAATGACAGGACAGTGAGTCACACACCAAAATGTATGATACACTCCTTTCTTTTAATTTTTTTGTAAGCAAAAGAAACAAAGAATTGTATCAGAAGTATTTGAACCACCTTTAATATAATATTTTAACACAATTTTCATTTTTTTTATAAAATCCAAGTCAAATCTTCTTTTTTTTTTTTAATACAAAAGTGAACATTTTAAATACCAAAGTGTGATCGTGATGCGGCACAAGTGTGTGCGTTTGAGGGGGAAGAGGGAGGGCGACCTATGTGCGCTCCCTCAGCGGTGGTCACCTGCAGTGGCGGCTCCCTCCAGTGTGGGAAACGGCGTCCAGGTCGCAGCTCGGCTGTTATTGCTGGGGCGAGAGCTTGCTCACGTTGCCGTGCAGTTTGTTTGTTTAAACCCGATGCTGGGTCGAGCTCCGGCGAAAACCTGTTTGTTTGTAGTCGTCGAGTTAATTAAAACGCAATCTTAACTTTTGTTTTTACAGTTGTTGCAAATAATTTGAGTCTCGCTCCCCCTCACACATCTCCGCCCCGAACTCAGAAGATATAGTGCATGGTAAATGTGGCTGTGATTATCCTGTTTATCTGAGCTGTAAATATTTTTAAAACAGCTTGATTGTGGATGACAAGAAAGGAATTATGGTGGTCTAACATATGTTGGGATTATTTAGTACTTGTGTCCTACTTTTTACATTTAAATTCTGCTGCATAATTCACATTGTGTTGTTTTCCCAATAATGACAACCACAAACAAAATATAAATCAAGATATTCTGATTATTACTATTATTATTATTATTATTATTATTATTATTACAATAATCATTATTATTATTGTTGTTGTTACAATTATTATTAGGGGGAAAGGTTATTGGTGTGAATCTATTTTTTAGGGGAAATTCTCTCCACTCCAAAGATTTCAATCAACCTGAATGGCTAATGTGGAATTAGTCTTTCCAGTCTTGTCGACGACTAATTATGTTCACACATCACTTAAGTACAATAGCTCCCGTGAAATCCTCATTTTGGCGACATTTTCATGCAGGAGATCATAGTCGGGATGGGAAGTCGTTTCCTTGCGCCACAGCAGGCCAAGGTAAAACAACAGCATCAAACGGACTGGGGCTGGTATTTCTTTTTTACTTCTCCATTCCATTTGATGCCCCCACAAAACAACACGACCCCAGGGAATACAAATGAAAATTTGATAATTCTCTCTGCTTTTCTTTCTTTCTCCCCCTTTTTTTTCTGCGTCTTCGTATCTTTCAGTGAAACGTCTTTGTCGGGCTCACTGACATTCACCTCCTCATCCCTCATTGCTGCTCCTCTTAATTGCCTTAGTGTGAAAAAAGGCGCTATCGTGCAGCCTCATTCACCTTACTCCTCTTCGCCGTGCTTTGACCTCTGACTTGTGATAGGAGGGGGATCTTCATTAACTCTGAATCAGTGACTCTAAAATGTTTTCAGATCTGGGGTGTGTTCCCTCATTAGATTATCGCATTTTGCACTCTTCTCTTGTTAGTTTCTCACAGACAGACGTCCCACCGTAGGTGTCCCTTTATGACAAATGTTTCCTGTACTGTGTGCTGGCGCTTTTTCAGAAGTGGAGCAGTAAACAAGAGGAATATTTTAATAATTTTTTCGTTTTTTCAAATTGAGGAAAACACTTTTTAAAAAAAATAATTTTATCATGTTAAGTATTAACATTTAAATTCCTTTTTAAATGTTTTTTTTATAGTATGACATTTTTATACTCAATGTGCCGTGCATGTTTCTTTTTGTGCATGTGAAAAATGTGGTTTTGCTCTTCATATACAATGTATTATGGGCTGCACGTGTGCCTGTATGTACTTGTGGCAGTTAACATGCCACAGTTCTGTGCATGGGTGTGTTTGTCTGCATCTGTGTGTTTGGCCAGCAGGCCTGTGCTGGTACAGTATATTGCCTCCAGTCACTGTGCAGCTGTGTGAGAATGTTCCAGGTTTGAATGTTTATGTATGGGAGGCACCTGGAGAGCACCACACCTTCATGAAATTCATAAACGTCAGCTATTTCTGGCATCCTCAGAATGTCCTCTTTTTCACACTCTCATATTGGTGGAGTAGATTAGAGCTGGGCTCAGTGGATCCCTCCAGTTATTAGCCCAGTACGGGTCTCCTTTTAGACTATCTTTAGATGGTGATATATTTTTGTGGATCATTTGGAGTCATGATGTTATCCAAGAGATAAGGGAGTGCACCATATGGGAGTGCTCTAAATGGCGACTGGCGTCCTGTGTTTGCGTTAAATGGGCACGATACAGCGGCCAAGGCAATATTTTTCAGTTAAAGTGCTCCTCCCGCCCTTCCACTCAATAGGACCCAGTCTTAGGCAGATTTTCACTCCTTCAGCACAGGATTAAATGGTAGTAGTTACATTGATCAATAGGTTAAGAAGCATACAATCCCTCTTGCTGCTAATGACCTCAGTAGTAATGGGTAATAAAATGGGGGTCTGTAATAGCCTCTTGCTGGGGCTGTTCACGGAGGAGGCTGCTCTAACTGTAGTTACTGAGAGCCAGATGCTCTTGACAAGGCGAAGTGTGAAACCGTGATGAGATACACACCTCAGGTGTAAAGAATTAAGACAGTTACACTGAAGGAAATCTCTGTGTAATTTGTAATGAAATCGACAGTTATTGAGATCTGGTTAAGTGTATAAAACCTCTGTGTTAACTCGAAGTTTGCTCTCCCCTTTTCCACATCACACTGTGTAATATGGCATGACAAAATGATTATACATTTGAAACGAAGACAAAATTTGCAGCCTTTACACGCTGGTAAAAAATAGAGCATGACTAATATGGAGTAGATTTTTTACGCATGTAGTAAAAGTGAAGTTTGTGGAGAAAAAAAAAGGGGGGGGGGCATTTTTATTTATCCCCTTTTGGAGGGGGTAAATGCCACATTTCGACGTGCACTGCATATCACATCATGTACGGGTTTGCATGTCAGCAAGACCAGGCTGCTTGGTTGACCTTCAGAATAGTTCATCAAAATTAGTGATGCCCAGAAAAAAGGACTTCGCTGGATAATGACTGTGAAATTAGGAAATGGGAGGCCGAGGCTATGCAAATGACAGGACAAGTCATGTGCAAAAGTCAAGATGAACTGCATATTAAGACATAATACAGGGGGGAATTAATATTGCATTTTCCTCCTCGCACCCCTTGCGCCTCCTGCTGAAAATAAGAAATGTGAAGTGTGTGTTGGTCCTGGGTGGGGCTGACCCTCCTTCATTCTCTTGGGTTTGGAAGAACATATCCCAGTGTAGTCTGGCACGGCTCAATAAAGTTAACAGAGAGCATCAAAGCTGCTCCGTTCTGTTTGACATCACTGCCCTTTCCTCTGCATTTTCACTACAAGCTGTTCATTATGGCAGTGCTTTGTTTTTGTTTTATGCTACAATGGGGAGAGTGAATAAGGTGATATGGATGCAGGGCGTGTGTCAAGAAAAGCCCCTTCGTTACCGGACGAGATTTTAAACAGCTAAATTGCATTCAGAAAAGCATGAAAAATTCAGAGGGGTGTCATTAGCTTTAAGGTGACCACACAATTTGGGTAACCTTGGTGAAGACAGTCTGTCACCGGTTATGTCTGCTCTATCGGCTGCTGACATCAGCCTGAAAGAGTACATTTTAATACTCGCTTATGCACACACAGATACTAATGTATTCGTGCACAAAAAGAACCACAGCCGCAACATGTTAACAACTGCAAAGACGCCGCAGTATACAAGCATATCTCCATCGCTGTTTGTCATCCAAATGTCAGGGAAAGGAGCTTTTAATGGTATTGCACATCATAGCAGTGAGTGGCAGCATCCAGACACACTCCAAGTCCCCTATGTCGCTGGAGCAATTAAGGCACCCTGACAACTGTGGGGGCTCTTTCGGTGTCACAACAAATCACTTGTTTTGAGGAGTCATGCACTCACACCTTTCTGCAGGGAGTTAGTTAGGGGCCCGTGTGTTCTTCACCATGGCTCCTCCTCCAGGCGCTCTATATCTTCACAATAATAGATCGCTGTTGACAGCATCTCTAATGAAATGTTCTCACATGACATGTCGTGCATGCGCGACAAGCGAACCACAGCATTTTTGGAGGCAATCTTTCACGTCTTCAGGTATGACACATTTGCCGCGTCGTGCAAACGGCGATGCTTATTGGAGCTTCGCCGTTTGTAAATGCAGATCATATCGGGTTTTGTGGAGGGGGTATGTGCGAGAGAGGGGAAGGTGGAAGGATGGAAGTCGGGGTGGACGTGTTGACCCACGCCTGGCTCTCTTGTGTCCTTTAGCCTGTCTCAGTCTGGTGTGGTGTCATAATGGTTAGAGGGGCGAAATGTGTGTGTTAGATGTTTGCTGGAGGTCATGTGCAGATTGCAACACTTCAAGATGACACTTGAGATGAATTCCTAGAATGCATCAAAGCCTCTTATAGTCTATTATGTTTGTCTAATGTGTGTCTTTGTTTTTTGTTGAGCTACATTTTTTTACCCTACCTTGCTTGTAGGCTGTAGCACACATGTGACAGTAAACAAGAAGGAGCCAGTGTTGAGGATGGATTGCTTTTTGCTTCCTGCACTAATTAACAGCTATCTGCTTGTTGTGTGTGCAGGTTCCAGTGTCAGTGGCTATGATGACACCTCAAGTGATAACTCCACAGCAAATGCAGCAGATTCTTCAGCAACAAGTCCTGAGCCCTCAGCAGCTCCAGGTTCTTCTCCAGCAGCAACAGGCCCTCATGTTACAACAGGTAACGTACATTCATGCTACCAGTAATCTTCTTCAGACGGGGCCATCAAGTTTCAGATGGTGAATGTCTCAGCTTGAAATGAAAATCTTCTTATGTATAGACCATGTTTCACAAAGATAAATTCACTTTGAACTGCTATTCTCCTTTCTTTTCTAAGCCTCAAAGACAGCATCCCTCAAAGTGTTGAAAATTCTCACAAAATCCACTGCCAGGTTTGCATGACTGATAGACTTTGCTTCACATGTCACCCTCCCGTCTCTTCTGCAGCAGCAACTCCAAGAATTCTACAAGAAGCAGCAGGAACAACTCCACCTCCAGCTCCTCCAGCAGCAGCAACAGCAGCAACATGCAGGCAGCAAGCAGAGTAAAGAGGTAAGCTGACATCACTCCAGCCGCCTGCCATTACCAAACATTGGCCAGACAGAGTACGGAAGGCATGCGTGCTCCCTCCCTCAACTCCATCTGCTTTCAGCCTGTGGTTAAAGCAGAGACGGGGGGGAGAATCAAGTGCACTCATGCTTCTGATTAGCATGTCAGACTGGCTGGATAAATGGTAACAACTGACTTATACTGTGCTAAGAATCCAGTGTCTCTTTTTTGGACCTGTCTCCACATTAAATGTATAATATGTTACAGAAAAGACTCAGGCCATTGTTGTAGTTTTTTTTCTAGTAAACAAGTGTCCTAAGCAACAAAGAGATGACCGTTCCTCTGAGCCTTGTGTAGGACATAATGAAAGGCAGAAGGGAGAAAGGCAGAAACACAGAGCATATAAATCTGAGAGGCTTTTCTCGGTAATTAACATGGAAATGGCAGAGGAAAAGAAGGCATGTAATTGTGAGATATCAGTGCAGAGAGCGCTTCCAGCTTTGTTGCCCATGTTGAGTTTTTTTTCACCATTTTTCTTTCTTGCTTTCCCTCCTTCGCTCCCCGTAGTGCAGCGAGGCTTGCTCATAGGCAGCGGCTTAATGCGTGTTAATGACAGGCGGATACAGGCATCACTGTGGACGAAGCAAATTATTATTGTGCAGTCAGAAGAAGTTCAAAGACGATCTGGGAATTTTCACTCTTGTCCCCGTTGAGTTCCAATGTTTGGAGAGTAAAGGAAACACAGAAAATTAAGCCCGGCGTTAAAAGCGGACCCACGCTCATCCACGCATGCTCACTCCCGCACACGTCCGCGTGCTGTCGAAGCACCCAACTTCAAAGTCGTAGCTCCCTAATTAATGAACTGCGGGCTTCAGTTTGGACAAGTTGTGGCATGATGCTCCCATAAATCAACATGACAGCAGAGCTCCTCGGCCTCAGATAGGGCCTGTCACCAAGTCGCATCTGATGTAAACACTAGAGGAGCAAGGGAGAAAAAGAGGGGGAGGCGAGGGGGGCAGACAAGGAGGTGCAATTGATCAGTTGAATGGAGCATGAGAATAAAAGAAAAAACTACTTTTGAAGCATATTATGTATGATCACAGGAAATGGATGCAGCCTCGAGAGGCTCTCCCCTTCTGCCGATGTTTTCTTTCTCTTCTCCATCGCACTCGCTCTCTCTCTCTCTTTCAGTCGCATTTCTAGCAGCCATCAAAAGACAGAATAAGAATTATGCAGTGAATCCCCTGTGGCTGCCAGACAATAACCCCCTGTTGTTGCTTTGTGCCTCTTTTATTTTAAAGACATCAAAATTTAGTTTTTCAAAGATCTTTAACTTTATATTTGAAGCTTGACAATAAAGGGCTGCCAGTGCCACTCTTTATCATTTGTCAGGGACTGTATTTTTCTCTCCCTCGTGCCACTTCTTGTTAACCTCTTATTTGGTCTATTGGGTCTGGGGGTTTTTAATGTGTCTGCATGCTGAGAGTGCACAGGAGCCGCTGTCAGCTGACGGGACTAGAGGAAAAATATGAAGGGGAGAGAGTTAAATTCATTTGCAGCACTCCATTTTCTTTCTTCCTTTTTTTTCCCTCAAAAGCCACCCCTCTATTTATTTAGCCTATTTACTTAGCGTTTTGATGAAAGACATTGTTCCTTCTAAGCCCCCCTCCCCCTCCCATAGCACTATTATCTTTATCTGTCAGGGAGGAGCTGCTGAACAGAGAAAAACTCAAGACAAGAGAAACTTCTCTCACACTGATGAAAGGAGAAAAAGAGCCAACCATCGTTCATAAACAGAACACATCAGAGAGGATCACAGGCCACCTGCATCCTGAATGTGATCTTTATCGAGTCGCTCTTTTTTTCTCTGTCTCACTTTCTTCCCTCACATTTTGGGTTAGATCACACATGAGCCTGAGACTGAATGTAGTTACTCTTCAATTATGACCCTCCGTTACCACTGACAAAGTGCCTTCTTCCTCTGATTGATCCAATGAGACGACACCGCTCGCTGTAATGGGCCAGCGCTGCCCAGAGCGTTATTTTTAGTCAGCCAGTGCAGAAGCAGCAGGCTGGGTGCAGGGCAGGAGGGAGGTAGAGGAAGAGAAAGGAAGGCCGCTCGACCCTTTTGACAAGCCCGGCAGGGGTGGGCGGAGGGGACCCGTTTTATCTGGCTGTTTCAGTGGTTTCAGAGCCGCCAGCCAGTGACCTGACTGCCGCATTGCACAGAGACCTTTTTTGTATGCACTCAATTGTGAGAAGTAAACAAAGTGGTGTATCCTGTGTTTGGTAAAAGGGTGCGGTGCACGGCGCTGCTTTTAGTGCCCCTACCTCTCCTTCCACCCGCTTGACAAACTGGTCTTGTATACTCATAAACAGACCTAGTGTCCTGTTGGGTCTCAGACGTGTTTGTTATGTCCTTAACTGTTAGAAAATACAGAAGGTGTACAGCTAGGTCCTGTTTAATCAGCAACAACACTTTGTTGAGCTGACTGTGGATTATTAAGAACGTCGGTTGATGAACGGGTTAAAAGTCATCTCTCTCCTCTGTGTCCCTGTTATCTAAATTCCATCTCTCATTTGTTTTGACTCATGGTGGATTGGGGATATTAGCAAATTTCCTTCTATTTATTATTCTGACTTTGTCTTTTTCCTTTCCATTTTCTTCTGTGCCCTTATTTCACTTTTTCATCCCATCAAAGTTCACGTTTCACTTTTCAGAGCCAGATTTTTTTTTCATCTCCCTGACTTTAAAATCAAGTGAAGACGCGCGACTGTTTCATTAACTGTTTCTTCACGAAGCGGTCTTAACACAGTAAGACGAACAAAACAGCTATCACATAGACCGTCCACAGCATGCGATTGAACGCAGCTTGCCACGCTGGTTGGGGGAAGACTGAATCCCTGAGCTCAGCGCCATGCCTGGGAGAGTTGTGAGAGTTGCTAGGGTGGTTATTAAGCACTTTGATTTAGTCACACGTTGTTTGCTGAATTATGAATGGCTGTAATTAAATTCCTGTGGCTCTTATTATGAATGATTAACTATGTTGTTTCATTGTTTGTCATTTGCCTTGCGACTCCTCGTTAATTAAGAGAGAGAGAGATGTATAGCGTACCTGTCTTAAGTGGGCTCTGACAAAACCAAACTAAAGGCAAAAAATAAAAAAAGGAAAATTAGGCTTCGTGGTAGCACGCGTTAAATCCATTAACCTTGTTTTTTATGAATGAACATGTTGTTCTAAAGTGCTTCATTTTACAACCCTAACTGTGAACTCTGTCACCTTGATGTTAAAATGGGTTTTTTAAATGGTGTATGCAAAGGAACCTGAAATTCAAATGTACGTGTTTGCACTGGCTGTTGTGCTTTTACATACGGTTTGTATGTGTTTGCTGATGGTGTGCCTCTTTGTGTCTCTGTGTGCCTCCAGCAGCAGGTGTCAGCACAGCAGTTGGCTTTCCAGCAGCAGCTCCTGCAGGTCCAGCAGGTCCAGCAGCAGCACCTGCTCAACCTTCAGAGGCAAGGACTGCTCAGCATCCAGCCTGGACAGACTGGCCTGCCACTGCACTCCCTCACTCAGGGTTAGTACCTCATATGTGACTGCAGCACAGCAATCTTCCTGTCCACCAGCTTTAACATTTCATCCACAATGAAGCAGTTATGATGACCTATCATGTGGCTGTATGTAAAGCACAGCAACTGAAGAACACTCGAATCACTATAAAAACACATATTTTAAGAGCCTTTAATTTGGGGGCTAGGTTTAGGTGGAATAAAATGTTGATTTTTCCATACTGAAATAGTCCTATTAATATAAATGCTTCACTGTAAAAATAGATATTTTCTTCCTGTGGATCAGCTATGTCACTCCAACAACAAAGATATATGTCTGGAGTTTAAGTTTGATCTTGCACGTCTTTCTTCAGGGTCTCTAAACAGGACTATCCTGTCTCTGCACCTTTTGTATTGCTCAACCAGTTTCACTATAACCTTGTTTATGTTATTGTTACAGGAAGCGTTCTATTGTCTTAGATAGTGAGAGTTGGGAATGAAACCGATGCCTATTATTTTGTATTTGATATTCTTACCTACTTGCTTGGTCTTGTCATGCCTGAGCTGCTTAGTTATGTGTTGTACTTGAAAAATTACACAAATAAACTCTTTAAAAAACACTTAACAACACCAGCTGAACACAAACACACCGAATAGTCGTAGAGCTCGACCAAGAATGTAACACTAGAAGTATCTAACCACATACTGACTCGACGTCCGCTTTATATCTTCAGCGATCGCTTCTCCCCTTTACTAAATGGGATCTAACTCCTTTACGCCAAAACATGTTTGCTGCACGATTTCAGTTTGGAACACTGAACTAACTCAAGTAACACATCCCACTGCTCAGAAGCAGAGATCCACACTTTGTCCTTCAGCTCATTGTCCTGTTCCTGTGATTGGCATTCTGGTGTCAGTCTCCTTTAGCCTGGAGGAAGACTGGATCTATTGTTCAGAAACCGCCAGTAAACTTGTCACTGTAAAAGCGCCTGTAACCTGATAGGAAGTCAATACTTGCTGTTTGGCCAGGAAGTTTATTTCTTCATTTATTCCTTAATGTTATGTTAAGGAGCGGTCCCCCTGTGACAAAGACGCCATCATAAGGGTTTTAGAACATGACATTGACTATTCATTCACAGCTAAGACAAACAGTTTTGAAATAATAAGATAAAAATGGGAGGGGATGGGAGAGTGCTTAGGTAATAGGCAAACACAAACATGGTTTGTACAGTGCTGTTATTGTTTGGACTGGGTATGGAATAACTCATCCGCTCATAGACGATCGCCGTGGGCACAGGCGTGGAGCACTGCTGTGTTCTGTGTTGCGCTTTGCTGAATTGCTCTGTGTCAGATGTCTGGCAAACACTCACACACCCCTTGAGTAAAGCATTGTGTGAGTGATATGGCTAGGCACTGAACTTTTGATAGATTTCACAACAGGCTTAGAACATCCTGTTTATTTTGTGTCATCATCACATACCTCTGAGGCATCTCATCTTATCAGAGAGCGGGGGCACTAAGTTTATCTCCTTCATATGCTACCTTTTCAGTTTTCGCTTATGCTTTGTTGGGGCTACGTGGTACTGAAATAGTGATTTCAGTCGCGTGTCACTGTGTCACAGACGCCATATAAAATGACAGAATTTATGTTCTAAGAGAAAATCTGACTTTTAACTCCGTGCAAATATATTTTCATGCCGAACGGCAGATTAAAATAAGTTACACTCGTAGTTAAAGGGAAAATTTAACTAGGCTATTGTTCGCATAAACATCGAAATAAGGAACTGAATCTTCCCACATACAATTAGCGGTCTGTTTCACTTTTGTTGCAACCAGTCAAACCTGGTTAGTTTGCCCTCGTGGTTAACTCTGTGTCTGCGACAGCTGTTACAACACTTAGGCTAGTGCTCCAGGCCCCCAGTTTGTCTTCTTATTCTACACATTTTCTGCTTGACTGTTTGAAGTTATTGATGACCTTTCTGTTTTCCACATCACTAAACTCTTTCACGCATCAGCGGGCCAGGCCTATGGTACTCAGATCTAATCTGCAATATTCAGCTAGCACTGCATCGGAAGCAGTGAGTTGATCTTCTCTGTTTGGGTCCCACTGATTATGGATTCAAACTTGGGGGCAGTAAATTGCGGTGACTTTCTAACTGATGATTTTTATTTCTTTCATTTAAACATGAAGATATCGATATAATTATTTTAAAATCCCATTATTATAGCAGACGGTCCTCTGTCTCCATTTTTCATGTACAGAGAGAATGAAAACGCTAAAGGTTAGCAAATAATAGGCCACTGAAACAGAATAATTAAAGAAAGTGTCCTTTTGGGTACTGCAGTGCAGTTTAAACCTCAGTCATATATCACTCTTCTGTCTGGTACAGTACATTGTTGGCTGAGACAGATTACAGTCATTGTTCTGGACTGAAGGAATGCATCTGAATTAGCTTTTCAAAAAATTGATAGCACTAATTAAGTATAAACTTGTAGATAGCACTTTTGAGTGAAAAACAATTTCTCACATTATCTTGAGCGTAATTTGTTTCTCTTGTCGTAAATTCTTTTGACATTAATGTCCAAAGTCTTGGAAGCGGCCAGGCGCTATCTGTTATAAATTACAAAAATGTGTTTGGGGAGGATATAACTCTCATAAATATAAATTTGATCCAACCAACACCCCCACCTGCCTCACAAAAAGCCTGTCCTCTTGACCTGATAAGTGAGTCAGTGGTTGCTCAGGCTCGCGTTGCTAAGGTGTTTGCATGTTTTTTGCACATGTGGCTGTGTGTGTGTGTCACAAAGGTGGCCGGTGTTTGTGTACATCCCGAATAAAATGGACCTTCACCCTGTGAGGTTGCTCTGCGAGAGAGCGAGTTCCTCTAGCTGCACAACATCATTTAAGCTGTCTAAGAGAGGCCAGTGGGACAGTGACAAGACAAATTTGTCGGTAATATGAAAGCAAAGAATGTGGCGAGCCATGAAGTGCTCACAGAACAGCAGCACATCAGGGACAGCGGCGGGTAATGCAGCCGACCTGTCAGTGATTGATACATCCAGCAGTGGGCTACTGGTAATAGTTCCAGCAGCATTAGGACAGGACATATTTCAGGCCAAAGGGGTGCATATCAGCAGGCCGGTGATTACGGCAACATAAACAGGGGTGCAGTAAAGGTCCCAGTCTGACGGAACAATAAACTAATAGCGATGTCACTGTCCCCCCATGGCACCGGCACTGTGTGAGAAGTAGCAGCACGGTTTAAAGAGCTCGGAGCACTAGGGGCCATTTTTTATTTGGGGGATGATGGCCTGCAACTGATGTCATTATGAACCTTAAATCAACTTTCTGCTTGCTTGAACATGGTCACCTGGGTGCAGGAGGACAAGGACAGGAAAAGGTTGAAGAGCTAGGCCTGTCTTGGTGCCAGAGCTACCTGCGGAGGTAAAATTGAGTTGGGAGGCCGGTGATCAATCAACTGTCCCAACAACATACATTTTTTAAAGTGCTTGTCCGTATTTCCCGCTCGTAATGAGTGGAAGACTTGTGTTGAAAAATGGAAACAGGAAAGATAAACCAATCTGGCGTTTAAAAGATGGACAAACTGGGTACCAAAGAAAGAAGGACTTACAGATCAATGTCATTATGTGTCCCACAGTAATCAGATGGAGAGAAACTCGATGCATTTTTGTCCCAACACAAAATATAATACCCACGGAGACTTTTGTGTAATGATATTTTATTGGCATTTATGTGGAATCATGAGCCATAGCTGTTGCAGAGTTTGAAGAGGTTGGGGTAGGAGAGGGAAGTGGCGAACGGAGAGCAATAAAACTGCAGACTAGATCCAGAAAGAGACAGGTTGGTCCCACTCCGTTACCTCTCTCATCAGACCGGTCTATGTGCTGTGGTTTCATCTGAGTAAACAGTGGTGTTGGGGTCACCAGGACTGCTGGGTAATTGAGCCAGTGTGGGCTGCCCTGTCAAGCACATCGGCTAAAAATACATCGCCCACTGTCACCGGGCACCAAGTGGGGGGAAAATGATTGTTCCCTCTGTCAGAGCGCAGGACACTCACATCACCAGTGACCTTCCTCTTCTAAACCAGCTATCACAGGGAAAAAAAAGAAGGAAAAACAAACTTTTGCTCCAAAGTCCAAAACAACAATGCAGCCTTTGATAATGAAACTGGAAATCAACAAGCGCCGGATTAGCATGCTATAACATGGAGCGCGAAATAAAGCATGTTTAGCCTGTCATGAATGCGCACTTCGATTAGGGCACATCAAGGCAATGAGGAGAATAAGGGAGAATACAGGCAGACAGAATAGAGCGAGTGTGCTGAAATATCCGAATGAGGGAAGACGCTCCTTGGAACGTGGAAAGGTTATTGATTTGTCCTGCAATCATTTCCTGCTCTTTGATATGCAAACGATCTAGTGTGAATTTACAGCAATCCTATCAGACTCATTTCACAGTTCTTAGCCCCTGCGTCTCTCTGGAGTCCTCCGCCTCATTAGGCCAATGTTCTCCATTACCAGCATAATTAAAATCTTTAGTAGCTTATCAAATTAAAAATATTTTTGCTGATCATATTGAGATCTTCACCTCACAGTTATTTTCCACAACAGGAATAAATTAAGACTAAGCATTTTGCACACAATGTATTACAATCTGGTGCTTGAAAGGAGCACTTCTGGTATCTATAGAGCTGGTGATGAGAAACAGGGAGGAGTGGGGGGGGGATCCGGAGAATATAAACCCGAGTAGATAAGCATGTGCAAATCATCTTTCATTTGCCAGTGCTCATTTTGAGAATGGATTTAATTAATTGTAATGTTAAACGAGTGGTCTTGCCCATTTGCTCTGTGGTTAAACTCACCACATATCCAAGGGGCTTCTTCCGCCATGCTTAAAACATGTGGCTTATTTAAGCACAGACTTGAATCCCCATTACAAATGCACATATATTTTGATATTAGATTTTTCAGCGCTATTAAAATCGGGCTTGCCCGCACGCACCGTGTTTTGACTGAAAACACTCGTAGCCACAGATTTTCGCCCATGAGGTTTAATCTTATTTTACATATCAGCTTTGTCCTCATTTGTGTCAAGTGAAAGCAGACTTCTCAGACACACCATAGATGGACACATACGTATTGTGTGCCAACAAAGACTCTCTGCTGTGAGACACGGAAAGTAGGGTTCACAAGCACTGCATTATCCTTCTTCATCCCGAGTCTGGCCCTGAGTGTCGGGATCGCTGTCACTCATTTGCTGAAAAAACACACACGCTCTGCAGATGTGTTTTCAGCACGCAGAAAAATGTCTTCTGTCTTCAAGGGATTTTTTTCCCCTTTTTTTTCAAAGGGCTGTGTGAGCTGCAGTGTGCTTGACTTGTTAAATGAGGTTTAAGTCTTCTGTGTCAATTGGAGGCGGTGCAGAGCTTTAAGTATTTTGCACATTAATGTGCTTTTGAGAATATTACCCCAGGGTCCTGTTTCTCAAGGAAACAGGGGTGGGATGTTTTCTAGCGTCGCTATTGTAAACTTTTTGTTGTGTGTGTTCTGCACATCTCTGTTGTTGGGAGAAAATGATGGTGATTATTCAGATTTCATGCCTTGTCTGGATGTTAATTATTTACTCTGGGCATGAAATTTGCGTGAATGCCAGGGATTTGTGTATACAAACACGCTTCAGATCACAGAAAATGGGAGGGAGAGAAGAGAGGAGCGAGGGAGCTCTCAGTGCATTACCCTGTAGTGGAATATTTTCTAATTAATACTCGGCTTTGTTTACAGACGCTTTGATTTAATTAAGTGATGAAGAAGAGAGTTGGATTAGCTGTTAATTGATTTAATTATCCAATTTGTTTGTCTCAGGCATGATTCCGACAGAGCTGCAACAACTGTGGAAAGAGGTGACAAACGCTCACGTAAAGGAGGAGCACAACAACAGCAGCAGTAACAACGGCCACCGGGGTCTCGACCTGTCCTCCCCGGCACCGCCAAAGAACCCACTCCTCAACCAGCATGCCTCCACCAACGGCCAGTACATGAGTCACAAGAGAGAAGGGTAAGTCTCATCTGCAGGGTGTTGTCGGGTCGTTGTTGTTGTTTTCTTTTATTTGCATGTGACTTGCAGTGCTTGTGTGATCTCACGATACTGCTACAGGGAAGAGGTTTTTATAAAACTGTGACCTCGGGAAACATCATCTCGCTTTAAAGAAAAACTCGTTTTGCTTTATATGCCACTTTAAATTACCCTTTTTTTCCACATGGATTGAGTTTATGGAGAAATCCCTCTAGACTTGAACAGATTACTGTTTTAATTTATAGTTTGTAAGTATTCCTGAAGACCAGCACAGTTACCTTTCTGTGCCACTGAGTACACCTGGGGATTACATAGAAACATCAGGGAGAAATGTGCGTATAGTTGAAATTAGATCTCGGTAAAATTATCAGGGGGGGATCACCGTGTTTTTTTATTGTTTTTACTAAGTTGTATAGGGAGAATAGCTGAATTATGATTTTCCGCTGCACTTCCTTGAGAACATTTTGATCACCAGGAAGTAAAAACATTCCTTTGTGAATGGGGAACTTAAAGAATCATAAATGTCTGTTTGTTTTGTTTATTTACTGTGTTACAGAATAAATAAACAAAACAAAAACAACAAGCTGTTATATGTTAGGAGAAGCAAACACTGGGTGATATTTTCCAAACCACCATAAATCATCCCTGAAAGGCATGTGCTCTCTGAGCTGTGTGTATGTGTCTTTAAGGAAGGAATTAATTTGGCATCTTACACATTTGCTTGTTTTCTTGCACCAAAGCCTGATCTTTGAACTGCTAGTGAGGAGCCTCCAGGCACCATGAGCTCACTGCCTAACATCTGACTTGTGTTTCAGTGATCAAAACCTACGCGTCATTACGAAAGCAATGCAGATGAAAACATGTTTAGCACAGTAAACTAAGCAGGTCTTCAGAGGTGAAGAGGGGCTGCTTATGGGGAGGGATGTGGAGGATGGGTTACAGAGAGGATCTGAGTGACACCAAGGGAGTATATCATGATGTGCTGATAGAGAACAGTTATGTCTTTTCAAGTAGAGCTTTTGGTTCTATATAGATTAATGGCATACTACCTGCACAGACTCATCCTCTTTAGTGTCTTTCAAAGTTATCTCCTGCCGCGGTGCAGGGGAAAAAAAGCGGGCATAAATTGTTCCTGCAGTTGACAGTATTCACAGGCTTCCAGTGCTCCATCCAGCGTCTGGCTGAGTGTCTGGTTTCTGTGTAGTTAAAGACAAATCACAGGGGAGGCTATCGACTCGTTGCTCACTCCACCGCGTATTGTCGCAAGTGGAGCAAACAAGGTGAGCGTCGATGGCAGAAAAAGGCAAGAACCAGCTTCAGCTGAGGGCTCCATGAAACATCGGGGAAGACATAACGCAAGAGCTGGCAGCTTCTCTGCCTCGCGCTGACTGTCAGAGATTAAAGAAGTTGTCAGCAGCAGTTTAACACAAGCTTAAGTGAAGAAGGCAGCCTCGGTCTGAATATTCTCACCGTATCTTAGATCTGTCAGAAAACCAGGCAGGTGATTTTCATCCACCCCATCTGTTGGAGAAAGTGGATTACCTACCCAGAGTTTTAACTGCACAATTACTAAAAAAGATGACTGATAGCAAGCGAACACAAAACATTCCTTATTAAATGCTGAATGATGCTAATTTAGATTCACACAACCAATAATCCTTTCTTGTGTTAATTTTAAATCGCACAACTATCAAGAGCGTTATGCCTCTCTTTTGATGATGCAGCCTCAATTCTAATCAGACTCCATGGGAAGAAAAATGAAATATTATTAAGTATGATTATTCTAAGCAAGGCTCTGAGAAAACGTCTGTGTTATAATCCAGGGATTTGAATAATCAGGTTGAAGATAATGGGCTGGGCCGGCCCGGGCGTAAATAGAGAGCATCCACTCATCCTCCCGGTGCTGAACTTAATGAACTTTTAATTGATGCGGTTTTGCAAGTCCTTTTGTCATGCAACAGAAACAAGCCTCTCTGCTGATGGGCCTGTTTTCCCGACTGGCTTCAGATTGGTTTACAGCAGGCCCTAAGTACCATGTAGTTAGTTTCATGTGTCATATAAAATCTGCCTAGGCACAACGACGCCTGCAACTAAAACCTTAAGTGCATCCACAGGAATCACTCACCGGCTTTGCACTTCCGTCTTAAGGAAGGAGGAGAAATTCAATCACTGCTGGCTTGACACACCGAAGATGAGGCACGTGTTCCTGCTTTTAGTTGTTTGAAAGAACACTCTGGCAAGGCAGGCTGGGATTTTTGTTTGTCTGAATAACATCCCTGATATGACCAGATCCTGAGTCACTCAATCTGTCAGCCCGTGTTGTTTCCCAGCCCACGAACTGTTATGCACAGATAGAGATATACCCCTGTGAGTCAGGTCATCTTTATTCAATGATTTGCTTATTCAAATCAAATGTGCATGATCTGTATCTGACACAAATTCCCAACACATTGCTGCATCAGCTTTATAAAGTGGGAGGGGGTTGGGAGCATCCTCACAAAGTACTTGGCCCACTTTACTTCCCAACAACCATCAGTAACCACAGCTCTGGGACTGTAACACAGCAATCTGTTAAGGAGATAAATAATCAGATTTGGCACAGCACTCCCATCTCTCTCTTGCCTTTCATTTGTCTTACACCAGAAGAAACTGATAATTAAATCATTTAGGTTAAAGCATGCAGTGGCACCGAGAAGACAGAAGGAAAGGATCCTGGAAAGTGAAAAGAGGGGAGGAGGGTAGCGGGTGTGAATTGGGGATGGACACAAGGCGATAGGCTAAAGTCGGCGCTAGTGCCGAGGATGGATGTAGTGATTGGCTTCAGACGCTGCCATCTAGCATGGTGGATATCAATCTTCCCACGTTTGCTGAGGTATTGAGTCCACCAGGACAGAATCTCAACCGTGGATCTCCACTTGTTTATGGCCCAAAGCATCTCATCAAAATAAGTGAGCTGGAAAACAACTGGCTAGCAGCTGTCAAAACCACCTTTGTGTGCACTTGTGCCTGTCTGTCTACACATAAACAGAGTGCAACACCTGGAAGGTTAACGCACTGTCTGGCCGGGTCTGTAGGCACTTTAATGTTCCTTCTCCTCTAAAGAAGCTGATGACATGGTTTTCCTCATCGCTCTTAAGAGATCATTAGAGTGTTCTTCCCCCCCCGGCTGGCTGACAATAATAACATCCTGACAAACCTGTCGTGGGTGCGAGTCAAATTTAACGCAACATGGGAAGCTGCATTTTCCCCCCCCTCCTCTGAACATGTTCTCAAATGGGAGAAAACCCCATGAATACTGCACTCTTCTCCTATTACACTAATGTAGCTCATTTGGTGTAAATTCTGTCATTTACTAGTGTTTAGCCATCCACCGTTTAAAAGGGCTCTTCTGCCGCCAGCCCCTCATAGCGCTTTGTGCTCACTGATTCCCAGTGCACTCCACATTTCAATATCTTGTTAATACAGAATTAACCAACAAGCCTCCTGCAAAGAATTAAAAAAGGATCCCTTTAAATTAAAAGCCAGTGTTACCTTCACCAGTCCGCACATTTCCTTGTTAAAAACTCATTATAATAGGTCTTCCGTCATCTATTTATTAGCTGTATCAAAACATAGGTCTTAATGTGAATGCATAATTCATAATTGAATAAAAAAATTCAGACTTTTGAAAGAGGGAGGAGGAAAAAAAGCTGCTAACCACATTCATGAATGCTTGACTGCTCCCTAATTGCAATGCAATTATCACATGTTATGAACAATGTGAACTCTTAAGCAAGTAATTATAACACAAGGAAACCTGCGACGACCTTTAAAATTTCCTACTCGAGGTACAGTTTTACTAACATTGATACAAATGAGATTTTAATCCGAACATCAGATTTTTTTTAATCCTGCAAAATTGGCACGCCGCGCTTTGATTTCTTTTCACTCGTTCGTTTTATGTACATTTTGAAATCAGCGCTGATCGATCGTTGCCAAGAAATGCAAAACATTATTAATGTCAGTGCATTTATTTTTCCATTCCTGTCCCTAAAAGAACCCTGTAAAGTTGAAGAGTTAGACATTATTATCTCTGATGGAAATTGTGTACGTGAATGGAGTTACTCCCGTGTGACAGCACAACAGTCTAGTGCAGTGACTCTCCTGATCCATCTTGTTGTCTTAGAGAGCGAGGCTCACACTAGAGGAGGAGAAGCAGCAGCATTGTGCTCATGAGCCGCCAGAAGCACAGGTGGTAGCGATATAGGCCAGTCCCCCAGGCTCTTGTAGCTGAAAGTTGTGTGTCTTGTATAGTGCCTGTGTCCATATGGCTGCCTGTCTTGCTCTCTTAGCAGACACTGCCTCCATACAGACCGCTTTCTCTTAGCGCTGACTGTGGTTAGCTGTGCTTCCGTGCCTCTCACCATATGGAAGATGTTTCAGAGTTTGTTTTTCAGGGATGTTCCTGCTATTTAGACTGATTGTACCATGCCATACGCTCCCCATAGATGCGTGCTTGTCAGCCCCTGGTGACACAGATTGGTCAGTAGATAAATTGATACCAGGCAGGGTTGTTTACAATACGTGCATGGTGTGAAAGTAGGGGTTTTAATATCATGGTACAGGCTCCTCCAGGTGGGCTCTATGACATGATGCAGCAGGCGGCACAGGAAAAACAGCAACTCAGGGAGCCCCCTAGCAGTCTAGATCAAAGTGAACCACAGCATGGCTCTGTGAAACTGAATAAATACACACTGATTTGATTGTGATTTCACAACAAGAGTCCCTTCCTTTAAGAGCAGAGCAAGCCAGATCACACAGGTACAGTGATTCCACAAAGCCCAAGGGTCACAGATTAAGTAGAAGTCAACGTTTTCATGCGGAAACAAGATACAGTACAAACAAGAAAGCAGTAACCGGACTTCGTCTGAAATGGAGAAAACGGGTTCTTTGGCCTGTCGTTAAGTTACGTGACTGCAGGACTGTCTTTACTAAAAACGTTTTCTCTGAATCTCTTTCCCAGATCCACGCTAGAAGAGCCTTCCCCCCACAGTCACCCTCTGTACGGCCATGGCGTTTGCAAGTGGCCCGGTTGCGAGGCAGTGTTTGATGATTTCCAGTCATTCCTCAAGTAAGTAAAAGTCATAGTCGGAGGTGCTTTTCTATCACAGTTTGTTTGTCCTCTTGTTGGGTCGATTACACTTTTCTTTTCCTGACCCCCAGCGACTCAAAAGCACTGCAGGTGCAGCTGGTTGTTATTCTCGAGTCTGGGTTGGGCCTCTCTTGACAAGGGTACCGTGGGGTCTCCTTCTGGGAACGGCATGGGCCTCTAATTCCTGTGATAAGCGCAGTTCCCATGGTGACAGGGGCCATTTTTCCCAAACAAACAACGGGAGGATGTTTATCTGTGGCAGCTCACACTTTGGGCGCTCTGCATGTTTGCCCTTGTCACCGGACAGGAGAATTGGTGTATATGTCTTAGACTGCCTTGCTCAGCTTTTTCTGTCCTTCTCCTAGGAGTCTGTTTGTTTTCTCTCCTGCCTCCTGTTTTACTTCTGTGGCTTTTTGGTTTACATTGTTGTTTAGTTCAACAAAGCCCAAGTCTCACCTCCGTGTTAAATTTAACCATGTGTAGAGTAATTAAAGAGCCCCAGCTAAGTGTTTAGCATTTTTCTAATGTGCGCTCTATGACAGGTTTGACTCTGTCCAGCCTGACACGGGAATTGTTTTGCTCCCCGATGCCCGATTTGAGTCAGACCCCTGGTTTACTAATCAACGCTGTGTGCAGTGCGCTCTAGGTAATCCAACACATAACAGTGCCATGGTTACAGAGGGGATGAAAACATCTGCGTTGTGGCAGCAGATCAATGGCTCACTGTCACCCCGGATTAGTCGCACTTTAAACAAGATATGACACAATTCCATTATCCTAAAACAAGCACTCAGCGAACACACACTTTCCCGAGAGATGCAGGAGAGAAAGGTGCTGCGTAGGACCGCCTCGCAGGTCTGCTGAAAGTTTTGACTCTCTTTGTCAACATTTTGAATCCTCTTTTGATTGTTTACGTGAATCCGCTTTGAGCTAGCGTGCGTTTGAAAGGCTCATCGCGCCACATTGTATGTTACAGTTTCTGTGTGTCTAAAAAGAGGCAGTTATGTAGTTTTAGTTCAATTTAGAAAAACATCCTGGGACAGGCAATTATTAAACCAAGTATTACACACACACTTTCACACACTTTCACACATGCACTTGCATATTTCAGCTTTGGGAGTGCCCGCTTAAATCCATCACTATTTATTGTATTCTGACATTGCCTCACCCTTTGTTTATAGAACAGAGGAGAATTAAATTCAGTGCGCCCGGTAGAGCTCTGCCTTAAAAAGTCTCTAAGTGCACTCAGCTATGTTTTTACAAGTGTTTTTATCATGGCAACATCTTGTTTACTTTAGTTGCCTGCTCAAACTGCTTGGAACACGTTAAAAAAACATTTGGGGAGAGTCTCCACAAAGCTGCCTTTGTTTAACAGCAGGCAAGAGTGTGAGCAGCTCACCAAGGTGTTAACTCTCAAACCCTTAAGCACTTGCACATAAAACCCAGCAACTGATACTGCAGGCCTCCGAGAGGAATCAAAAATAAAAACAAAGAATACTTCGGGCATTAGAGAAGAAGGAGTCATCTCTGTAGGTTGAAAATATATGTGAGGAGAGATGTGTGTCTGTCTGCGAGTGTGCAGTCAGCAGAACACAGTGTACTGTGCACCAGAGAGAAAGAAAGGTGAGGAGGACTCTAACGTCCACCAGATTTCAGCTCCACATGCCAACAGTAACAACTAACACGGGACTGAAATGTTGTTTTAAACTCTGTGTATTTATTTTATCTTTTAAAGAAAACATTACATACCTACACGCACTATCTCGATAAATACAAAACACCCAAATCCCTGTTCCTGTTTTCGAGATCAGCACGCAGAAGGGTGGGGTTGGGGTTTAAGCAGAGCCTGATATTTTTACAAGGGTCAGGACCCTTCTTTTCAGTGTCCAGTCAGAGGTCAGAGCCAGCGAAACACTCCAGTGCCCTCTAGTGCTGCACTGTCTGTCTGCTCAGACCTCAAAATCTCCTGCACGTCGCCACGATGTAGTGACTGCTTTATAAGTTATGTGGCCTTGCAGCTCTGCAAACATCCATCCATCCATTCGCTTCCGCTTCTCCTTTTCAGGGTCGCGGGGGCTCTGCAAACATATGAAACATATAATATAGAGTAAAATACCTTCTCTAAATAAAAAGTAGTAAAGCTATTATTTTTTTAAAAATCAAAAAATCTAAGCTTTTTAAATGTAATTGTTACTGTACAGATGTGTGCTTGTAAATTAAATTCCACCCAGCGGTGGAGAAGATAAACCTTCCTCAGCTGCGGCTCCAGTCTATATAATTAGAAACTGTAACCGAAAAATAAATAAATAAAAAATAAAATCAGGGAAACTAACTGATATATAAAACCGACTGTGGGAATATCCATTTAACTTGTTTTATTGTGGCAATTTACATTAGTCTCTGTCATCCTGCCAGAGAGCTTTTTAAAAGCGGCTTCATTTGAAGTCCAGAAAGTGACACATGCCAACGTTCATAGTCTCTCTCGATGTCAATTCCCCCGTATCCCCTGCTCCCGTGTCCAGACACTCCTCTCAAGGCTGCATTAGGGCCATTTGAATATTTCATTTCCTATTAATTATGCACTGTGACTCTCCATGTCATTAGAAGAAATAAAGTGGAATGTAACAAAGGATGAAAAGAAGCAGGGCACATGTCTCCTATGAACACAGAAATTCCAAAGCTGCTCACGTAGGCCAGTCTTCATTGAAAATTCAGCCTGTGCCAGTTAAATTGGAGTTGAAACGTCTTTACCTATTATTTTCTCCTTTGAAATTTAGTAAGATGTCCTGAAATGTTTACCAGTTTCATTTTCTGACGTACTTAATTAAATTGGCATTTATTTGACTCAAACAAATGGAAAGCCCAGAGAGGCCTGAATTGTGAAAAAGGGTGTTATTGCCCACCCTTTTTTAAAAATATGGCTTTTTAATTTCTTTTTCTTTTTTTCTTTTTTTTGCCACAATAATTAACTTCAAGTGCTAAATGTATATATTGGAGTCATTCTTCAAAAATAAATCATCAGAACACAATAGGAAGATGTGAGTGTGGTGGAAGGAGCCTGGGTTGCCTGGGAAGATATAAATCATTCACCTCAAGGTTGAAAACACCACGGCAGAACAGAAGCAGGGCCCTATCAATTTTACCTTCCTTTTACATGTCTGTTTTGTGAGTGTAAATGTGCTGTTTTATGCACAAATGTGTTGTCTATACACGAAGCAGGGGCATCACTGCAATTTACCGGGCTGTCGTACCGTGCTGTGCCGTCACAGGTTGATTCTGGCTATTTTTGATTTGCAGTAAATGACAGAAAAAGTGCATATGAAAAGGCAGGCGCACCTTTCTCCCATCTGCCGACGCCACTTTGTGCACACGCAGACACGCCTGGTGACAGTGACCTACATGGTCACTGAAAATGTGATATAATTTATGATATATATAATATATTGGATCCATTAGCGAGCATAATGAAGTAGTGAAATGAAAGGGTATTTGTGAAATCAGTTCAAACATCCTGCTTGGATTATGATTAAATGATTAATGAAATGCCCCTGCATAAGCATTTTCAAACAGTAATTCATGCGGCAGCTGATAAAATTCCTCCAATCATATTTCCTTCACTCATGAACCTTATCTCCACCATTTTATATAAATCACGGAAAAAACCCTGTCTGCTACCCGGCGAGCTACTTATTTAGATTAGTTATAAACGTACAGGAAAAGAGAACATCTTCCCCTGTATAAAATAATCACGCATAATTATATCCATAATTCAACTTTGTGACAGATCCCATCTCCTTGTCCTGTCCTCTGCATTTGGTCTGGCTCTGTTTTTTTCTTCTTCTTTCTTTTTTTGAATTCTCTTAATTTTAATGGTATAATTAACAGTCAAAACACCAAAAAGGACAAAATCATCCAGGCAAGGGAAAGCTGCAGTGAGAAGAAATGGCATTAGGGCACTGGTGCATAATTTAGCAAAGGAATCCAACCTGAAATTCTTCAATCATCCCTCTTATCTGTAAGCTGTAGTTAGAGGAGACATGACCGTCATGAAATATTGAGAGTCATTCTTCTATGTTAAAAGAACTATTTCTTTTTGTTCTGCAGGTGGAATCATTACAGTACGCAGTTAGTTTTATGAGTAATTTTTTTTAATGTTATCACATGGTCTATATACATTGTGCTTTGCCCAGTGATCAGATTGCAGTATTAAACCACGCACTGCAGGACTGTGAATCTGACTTTACCTTCTTTCTGGTGTCTGTGTTTTCATTTTTTGTTCTTTCTGTTTTGCAGACATCTTAACAATGAGCACGCCCTGGATGACAGGAGCACAGCCCAGTGTCGGGTGCAAATGCAGGTCGTACAACAGCTGGAGCTGCAGGTATTGTCCCACTGAATGTTTTGAACCAAATATTTATGTGTCTTCTTCTGCTGACACTTCCTCAGTGTCTGTCCAAACGCCTCCCTGTCTGACTGATATCAGCCATGGGGTCACTCATAGAGGGATGGGGGTGGTGGTGGTAGTGGTGCAGCAGATTAAATAATTTTGTACATTTGCTACTAACCAGTCATTAAAAATGTGTTATGTATGCATGACAGCCAGGAAAAGATATATGGAGGGCCCCGGGCTAAGTAGAGAAGATAATTACATTTTGAATTTTACTGGGTTTTAAAGTTATTTATGACTTTTAACTGTTTGGCACCAACAATAAAACATAGCATAATGTGGATAGGCGCTCAGTGTTGAGTGGAACAGAAAGGTTATTGAAGCTCAGTGCAGAAAACTGTTGATACAGTAATCAGTATCTTTAATACCGCGTCGCTCATGAACGGGCTTTAATGTTCTTTAAAAAATATGCATGCGCATTAAGACTGTGCTCAGGGAAAAAGACGCAGTTTACAGTCATTGTATTGAGGGGGCTTGGAGTGTCCAATGAGCCGTGTGTGTGTGTGTGTGTGTGTGTGTGTGTGTGTGTGTGTGTGTGTGTGTGTGTGTAACAGTGTTTGACTAAATGGTGACCACTGAACTAATGTATAATAAAGATATTTATTAGTGTTTCAGGAAAAAAATAACTATGTTTTGTACAAGTTTTTCTGCTGTAGCAAATACAAAGATATTCATGCTGTTTGCAGCTTTGGGTCACGTATTAGTCAAATATAATACCACCAAAATGACTAACGACAAACAGTTGTGGTTTATTTTAAATTGCAAAAGGCTAACTTCAACAACCAACAGTGCGATGTTAGTTGCACCATGCCAATGTCCTGTTATTTCCGCTCAGCTGGTGTATTATCCAGAGATGGAGTGAAGGTTTATCAGACACAGACTTCCTCTGCATGCAGCCTGTCACCATAATTTAGGCTGGCAGCTAAGACAGTGCAGAGTTTCAGACAGGTAGAAAGGCCCTGAGCTTGTTATTGGCGATGATTCGCAGTGGATTTTAACCTTGACTTGGAGAGTGTAGTTAGACTGTATGATGTGCAGGCTTGTTGACAGCTTCCAAAAACAAAAAACAAAAAAATAAATAATTAAATAATGGTCTGAAGAAGAATAAGGGTGTTCACGCTCTAAAAGATGCCTTCACTATACAGGGATGTATATAATTAAAACATGGGCAAATATAGATTTTTATTGTGTATGTTCATTAAAACTTCACCGCTCTCCTTTCTTCTCATTACAGCTAGCAAAAGACAAAGAGCGTCTGCAGGCTATGATGACGCACCTTCATGTCAAGTCCACGGAGCCCAAAGCCACCCCACAGCCGGTGAGCAGCAACCCCGTCATACATATCTCTCTTGTCCCCCGCTATCCTTTTGTTTGTCTTAATTGGCACACATGTATTCATTAATCCTTTCCTCCATCTTATTTATCTGCTAAATAAAAACAGCTGTTCTCTTGAGGCAGGCAGTAAATATAGTTTGGAGCACATCTGCTGACATCCAGGATTCAATTTGGTGTCTGTGATGAACTGGATGCACACTCTGTAATGGCCCCTTTTCTCAGCTTCAAAGAACAAGTGGCTGCTTGGGTACAGAGAGAAGATGAGAAAGCAGAGAAAAATAGAAAAAAATAATACATATTATATTTAATCAACTGAATGTGATGTGGCATGTATTCTTAGTGCTTTAACAGCAAAATTAGTGTTTTTTTGACAGAGGATATAAATGTTATGAGAATCATAGAGTCACGCCAATGTGTGTTTGAAGAAAAAACAAGAATAAGATAGCATGAACAAATATAAAGATAATAATAATTTATTGATTTTCAATAAACTGGAAGCTAGCTGATGTCACCTCAAAGTAAATGTGTTAGTAGCAACTTTTATTTTAACCTCCTAACTAATTCTTCCCTGACTGTATTCACATAAATTAGCCTTAAAATAATGATACTAATTACTAATCTCTAATCTGTCCATGAGATCAAAAAGAATCAAATCACTAGCATCTCTTATTTATCAGGAAGCTTTAGATTCAACTTTAATTTTATTTTAAAAGACCTTGAAAGTTACTTCCACATTTGACCCTGTTTAATTTTATTTGACTTAAAGCTAATTTTAAAATATTTATATTTCTATGAAAAAGATACAACAGAAATGATTTCATTCCATTTATTAAAAAATTTGTAAGGGGGAAAAATGAAAATGTGAGTAAATGCAATTGCAGATCATTATTTTTATCTCCTTGGCACATTCCCAACATTTTACCTTCTGTATCACTCTCAATGTGTTTTATGCCGTAAAGCCTTGTGCTTAATCCCTATCCTATAGGGGCAAAGGCTTAACATATGGCATTTAAGTGTCTCTATTTTGTCATGCTTAAGAGGGGGGCTCAGCAACATATTTCAGTCTGTATGACAGTTAATTCAGAGAGCCCAATGAGCAAAGATCATTTTACTGCAGGGCGTGAGTGTGAAATCATGCACACACGAGCACACAGATGCACAATATACATGCAGGAGTGCCGTCCCTCGGCAGCCTCACAGCTTGGATCATTTATTTACAGTCAGCGAGGTAGCTATTGACATCCAGAGGCAGCGTGTGCGCTCTACAAAGCGCAGCCCGTCAACATAAAGCGCGCAGAGATGTTGAATGACAATAAGCTGTCTGTAAAGCTGCGCCTGTGTCACGCGCTCTGATTGTGTAGATTAGAGTGGAAAACGAGGCCTCTGACATGGGGACATTTGTATATGAAAAGTGGTAGGGTCTGCAGATAGCATCTCGAGTTTGCTACCTCTCCTCTCTCCCCGGGGCCCAGCAGAATGGCTGTGTCAGAGCTCAGCGTTAACACTCTCGAGGGGGCGAGCTGGGTTTTTATTCAAATAAATAGACTCCCAGCTCCAATGCTATTTCGCCCGCTGTGAGCTGCTGTGAAAAGCTTGGATAAATATACGTGACTTTAGCTGGGCAAGTGGCGGACTTACACAGGTCAGGGCCAAAGGTTCCACCGAGGTTTTAAGTGTAGATTGCAGCATCAGATGCATCCACAGAGAAGACGCAGAATGAAAGCATTCTTAGAGCTGAGTGGAAGCAGAGCTTCTCTGAAGAAACAACGGTATCTGCTTCCAGTAATTGCTAGTTTTGCTTTTCTGCTGCTCTGGACTGTTGAATATAAAAATGGCATGTGTAAGTAGCCTACTGTCACAGCAAAGTAGCTCAGATGAACTCGCTGGTTTACATTTAGTTATAATTAAAGACAAACAAACTGATGCTGTGCATTCGCAGCGACAAATGAATGGGATTCATTTTATTCTTGTGAGGTGGACGAGGGTGGGGGTAAGATCAAAACAAAATGTGCCACATTAGCAATGCGTGTGTCTGCCTGTGTGTGTGTTTGTATTTGCCTCTGCATGTGTGGGTGGGTGTCTGCACACGGTGTCACTAAGCATTCTTGTCAGAAATCTGACCTTTTACGCCATACATAATTAAGGAGGGACTTTTTGTTTATTTTCTTTAGCAGCTTGCCGAGTCAAAGCCAGTATAATTAGATCACCAATTACCATTTAATTAATTTCAGTCTGAAGTCTCATTTTGTCTAGGCACTGGAGTGAGCCCAAATGGTGAGGCAAACAAAGGCAAGGCTATTACCAGCCTGTCTGGCCTATTGTTGAAGCCTCTCTGTGTTTATGGCCAGGGAATATGGATGAAACATGAAACAAAGCCTGCTAATCCACAGGAAGAGAAGTCAACACCGCAGCCCCGTTCTATTGATAGCATTGTGTCAGAAACACGCAAACCCAAGTGTAATTTATTTTGTTCATGATTTAGAATAACACGTCTTCAGCTTCTGTTGGTGAGGATGTAGTCCACATTCATGCATCCATCCAGAAATCCAAATTATTTGGGCAGACTCTGCCAAAAAGGCAGAGTTCAGCCTTGCAAACATAAATACACATTGTGAGGATGTGGGCACAAGTCTGTTAAAATAGGAGATTTGCACTACACAAATGTCACTGGTTTTGTTTGGAGCAGTTTGCAACTTAATAATGAGAGGGGTGTGTGTGTGTGTGTGTAAAACAAGTTGTAATTTAAAATGAAATCAAAGGAACAGTGCCGAGTTCTGGGGATAGAGAGTTAAAAATGTGATTGGTAATTGGGCAGCTGAACAGAATTTACGCGTTTGCATAGAGTCAGATGTTAGAAACCATCATCACCTTGTCAACATTACGAGCAGAAATCACACATTTGATCCCTCGTAATCAACATGTGATGTCACAGATGAGATATTTCCAGCCCCACTGTCCTTTCTCCAGCTCTTTAGCTCTCTTTCTCCATTTTCTCTCTTCATTTTTCTTCTTCTCACAGTCTGAAGTCATGTTTAATTTGGAAAGTGGCCTCCTTCGGCAAATTAGCAATTAGAACAATTTTGCAGGAATATGTATATGTGTCATTAGTTTTCCTGCCAATTAATAGCTGGAGCAGGGGGTCAGGCTAGAATTTTCCACTTGACTGCTGTATGGAGGTTTGGCAGTTGGTTCGGAGCTGCCACAGCTGCTGGAAGCCATGCTATACCTTTGGAGCACTCGCTGTAATTAGTTTACCTTGTAGCCATTATTACTTAAATACCTCCTTCGCCCTAACCCACACATCCCATCCACAGACACAGACCTCAGTGATGAAACCAAGTATTCTCTACAGAAGGCTATGTGTGAAATACCATGTGTCCGTCTTTACCATTGGCCATCATGGCCCTCATAATGGAGGTCAGTCAGATACAGTAGTTAATCATCAGATCACCTCCATAAGCAGCTCCTAATTAGAGTCTTCACAATACAATTTCAGCTTATAATTAGCCCAGATTGGCTTCTTCCTCTGGCTGCCTTATTAGCGGGGCTGCTCAGCAGTAGGTGAGAATCACACTGTCATTTTTCAGAGCTGTACAGGCTGCCCTTCTTCCCTCCACAACTCAAAACTCATGGGTTACCATGCTGGAGACCCTCAGCGGGTAGATGAAGTGGAGGGGGGTGTTTGTCCAAATGGGACAAAAGCTCCAACAAAGGCGATGAAACAGAGAGCTGGGAGAAGGCCTGACATGGCAGCAAGAGAGGGAGGGAGGAGAGGTTTGAAGAGTGGGGGCGGTGCAGGAGCGGGGCTCCAGGGTTGTTTTCCAAACATTTAGCAACCGTTCATGGATCATCTCAGGGCCCAATTACAATTAAAGAGGAGGTATGCATAGTCAATGAGGCGGCTAAGACACGGGGGTAATTAGGAGACTAACTGAGCTCTGTCTGTCTGTCTGTTCTTCTAGCTCAACCTAGTGTCCAACGTCACGTTGTCCAAGTCGGCCCCAGAGGCCTCTCCTCCTCTGAGCCTTCCCCAGACCCCCACCACACCAACAGCACCGCTTACACCCCTCTCCCAGACCCATTCTGTCATCACAGCCACAAACCTCCACAGCATGGGCCCTATGCGACGGCGATATTCAGAAAAGTACAACATGCCCATCTCTCCAGGTACTGCAGAATGCTCACACATAGTACTATATATACATGAAGCTGTCGTCTGTTCTGCTAAATAACTGACGTGTTTGTTTTGTTACGTTAGGCTGTAACTTGTGTTATCGACGGCTGATAGGACACAAATGTTGACAATTGCACTTGTGTTTGCTCTCTGTGTACAGATATCAGTCAGAACAAAGAGTTTTACATGAATACAGACGTAAGACCACCATTCACGTATGCCTCACTAATAAGACAGGTAAGGAACTCTCACTGATTTCTTCTTTGTGATTTAGTGAATAAAAACTTTCAACTCCTCCGTCCGGCTGAAACTTTTGTCTACACACTCAGCAGTTAAGAAAAAAATGTTCATGTTTTGCTACATGTGAACACAATTTAGACAGAAGAATAGATAAATCATCTCGAAACGACTGCAAGAATGCATTCAGGATTCAAAACACAGCCGCACATGACAAAAATGTTTGATTAAGCATTTCAGTGACTGTAATTATTACCAAATTCATTTCACACAACAGTGGGGATGAACCTGTTTTAAGATGGCCAGTCAATTATCGCTCGACTGCAGTAATCTGGGATCTCAGGAATTAATCTGAGCGGTCCATAATTGCTGCCCTGTAATCTGCCTGAGAAATGTTTTCACTTGCCCTTCATTTACACCCGCAAAAGAAAATATATTCAAATCTGCCGTTTCGAATAAAAAGTGCATTACACTTCTAGGAACACTTTACATAGACGGGTTCTCGTTTGGTTTTTTTATGGGGGTTTCTTCAGAAGAACGCACACAAACCTGCATGCCTTTTGTGAATTATTAAATGTATTGTGAAGGGAGCAAAGCTGAAAATGTTTGTTTCTGTCATCCAGGCAATCCTCGAATCTCCAGAAAAGCAGCTAACACTAAACGAAATCTACAACTGGTTCACACGAATGTTTGCATATTTTAGGCGCAACGCAGCAACGTGGAAGGTAATTTTTTTTCTTTCTTTAATTCCTCCTAATGTCTTTAAACCAACACGGGAGAATAAAGAGTCATTGTGTAGATGTTAGGTGGACTTAAATGATAGTCGTGCATAATAAAATGTAAAAACAAAACTTAATCCAAATACATAACAATAGCCTACTTATTCGATTCAAATGAACCACCCTTTAAACAAACATGTGAACCAGACAGAGCAGGCCAGGGGAGGAATATATGCATTTGTGTAAAAAAATTAAAAAAAAAATTTTCAAAACAGTCACCCTGTAATGTGTGTGGATATTCTGATGGTGGGTGGCATTAGTTTAACATAGCAGTGCTCTGCCAATGACTCCTGGCTGAGCCCCTCACACTCACTTCAGAAGGGAACACTCTGTTTTCCACCAGGCCGCAAGCACACGTTCACACAGACACACACAAAACAACAGAACAGTAATGACTGGAGACAGAGAACGTGAGATTTGAATGAGAAAGGCAGTGATGAAGCAATGAAAGCCTTTTCTGAGCCACAGAGCAGCTCACACACACACCACCATGCTGCTGCACTCCCGTCCCCCATCACCTTCCACACATACTGACAGCCTTTCCATAGGGGCACATTGGTGTTATAAACACTGGATTCCTCTCCGCACACACATTTAGAACATACACATGCACTCAGCATAGCTCCTGTAAAAAGGTCGACTTTCTGAATAATTTGGACTGAACCCTCGATTTATGTTCGAAAAGCCCTTTTTTTCTTTCTCACTTTGTAATGGGAAATGCCGACGCAGAATGAGCCTAACGTTTTCTCATCAGTAACAAAGTAGTGATTAAAATGTTCAGTTTCTATATTTTGTTGGTGTAATTTGTTCTGATTGATCAGAAGAGGCAGCTTTAAAAAGATAAGGGAAAAAAGGGGATGTCTTAAGAGTATCGCCATGGAAATGAGTAAATATTTATGTGCTGTTTAAGTCATTTGAAACTTCAGACCATTTACTGCCCGTAACCCTCTGCTTTATTTATTGTTTTCATTCAAGTTTCATCCAGAGCCTGTCACAATATTTCTACTATGAAATGAATTTTTTCTTCCCATGCAGCCATGTTTACTGTACTGATAGAAACCCTTTTTTTCTCTCTTTGTTTTTACATCAACTGCAGAATGCAGTCCGGCATAATCTTAGTCTTCACAAGTGTTTTGTGCGGGTAGAAAACGTAAAAGGGGCTGTGTGGACAGTGGACGAAATAGAGTTCCAAAAGAGACGGCCTCAAAAGATCAGTGGGTAGGTTTGGCCCTGTTGAGCCCTGCCTAGCGTCTGTCTCAGCGCTGACTGATGGGAAGAGTCTGCTGCTGCTGCTGCTGCTGCTCCATCTCCATTGTCTGTGTGCCATACCATCCAAAGTCCCTGCTTGCTTTGGCGTGCCTCCCCTTCATGCTTTTAGAAGCCTTTTGGTGATGCCTCATAACCCACAATGGCTTATTTTCATTTTGATCCTCACCCTCTCCCCTCCTCCCTGTGTCTGTGTGTCTGTCCGTCCGCTGTCTTTCCTGTCGATCACTGCATCTGCATCTGGCTGTCGCCTCCCTCCTCCCGCTGGTTTGCTTTCCCAGGGTGCCATTCGCACCAACCTCTCCCTGCATAAGTGCTTTGTGAGAGTAGAGGATGAGTTTGGGTCCTTTTGGACTGTTGATGATGAGGAGTTTAAGCGCGGTCGCCACATACAGCGAGGCCGCCCTCGGAAATACGCCGTTGATGAGAACTTTGACGAGCTGCTCGTACAGTAAGCACTTCCGCCTGCCCTGCAAACTCCAGTGGTCCCCGCCCCACTTGCATGCCTCCATCCCTCCCCCTCCCCCCACCTCCCCTCAGTGTTGCCATCATGCTTTTTGTGTTAAGCTCGTCATCCATCATGCTTCCACAAGATCTGCCTCCATCAATCTGTTCTTCCTTCCCATGACATGCAAAGTGTTAGAGATAGTTGTGTGGTATTGTCAAGTGATTGAACGTCTTAGAACTGTAGCCTTAATATCCACATTACTACAGCAGTAAATTTGTTAAGTTCTTATACAAAGTGCATTGATTTCTTTTTATGAAATAAGATACTGTATCTGAGGAATGCATGCTAGCTGAGACACGAGTCTGTGGTTGTAATTGAATTTTTCTGTTTGCAGAAGTCCAGCCTTAGTGAAGAACATTCAGACCAGCTTGGGCTATGGTCCGACCCTCTCTGCTGCCTTCCAGGTAAAAAAGAAGTGACTTCATCTCAAGCTGCCTCGCTCAGAACTTTGAAAGGCAGGAAGGAATAAGCGTTTCACTGTGTCACATGCACGTAGTCTTTGTCTTTAGGATGATGTACTCGCATAAAAGAGTGATGGGAAACTGAGAAAGTGCTGACAACTGGCTTCCGTTTCACATTTAATGCTTCGGGCTTTGCTTTTCAGGCTTCAATGGCAGAAAACAACATACCTCTATACACTACTGCTTCCATTGGAAGTCCCACCCTCAATTCCCTGGCCAACGCCATCCGTGAGGAGATGAATGGAGCAATGGACCATGGAAACAGCAACGGCAGTGACAGCAGCCCGGGACGCTCGCCCCTGCCAGCTATGTGAGTGGCACACGCGCTTTCTATCTTCACCGCAGTCTGTGTAAGAAAAGTGAAGAGAGAGGAAAATTTTTTTGAGCTGCTTATTCCACTGAGACCAAAACTCTTCAAATAGACAAAAAGTAGTGCCAGTGCCCACCCAAAAGGCTCTAAAGTGACCTAATGCATGGCAATAGATCAAACAGAAGGGATTGCCAGAGGTACAATAAATAAAGTGGAGAGGGGGATATTGGGGTGGCGTGTGGGGTCACGGCCAGTGCTGTGGCAGGCCTCCCTGCCGAAAAGGAAACTCCACCTTTTCAAAGCTTCCATCACCAGAGCGGCCGGGAAGAGAAGACCGGAGCCCCTCTGTTATTTTAACAGCGAGTTTATGAACTCTCCTTTATGCGTCCTGCTGTCTGTCTGAGCCCCGCCATCATCGGCCCTTTCACTTTGTTAAAATATTTACAAAATGCCAGCACGCAGAGTGACACAGCTGCTGGCTCCGACAGTGCAACATGAGCCGCAACACATCTAGAAACGCCTCTGAAAGAAAAACAACACAAAAAGCATAATTAGTCTGGAGGACATCATCCAAGATTCTCATGTAGGAAAGTTGTGGTCGGCCTGGAAACCGCAGCTCCCCGTTCACTTGTTGTATGGGAGTGTCTGCTAAGTTGTTTGAAGCCTAAAATAATACAGCACACGCTGCATCGTTTCCAGATGTGGGGGCAGACCACCGATGTGCAGCAGGGGTAGACTCAGGGATGGCCTCCTGAAATGTCTGAGCTTGGGGGAAATTCTGCCTAAAAACAAAAAAAAGGTGCAGTAATAAGCTCCTGGCCAAATGGAGGAAAGTGCCATCCTTAATCACTGTGAACATAGCTCTGAGCATGGCTCTGGAACAGGAAAGGCAGAGACAGGATGGGTGTGCTGGCCTAAAGGCAGCCTGCTCTCCCTCTACCCCTCTGCTTCTATCTTTAGGCTGACAAAGCTCACGACTCCTTCTTCGTAATTATGTCTATAAGCTTTGTGCAAGTACAAAACGAGTTAAAACTGTGTTCTTTTGCTTTTAAAGAACTTTATTCTCTTATTAACAAAACACACCTGGCTCTTTACGTCTCTTTACGTCTCTTTATGTCTCTTTATGTCTGTGGATGGAGCATTTAATGCTGCGGTTAATTCAGTCCCTGGTTTTCTATACTGCTCTGACTTACCCTGTCCGAATGCGAGTCCATCACCGCTGTGTAGTAACATGTGCTGTCCACATGTGCCAGGGAGCTGCTGGTTGACAGGACACAGCTTTTTTACCACAGTGAAGAAACCAGAGCACTTCTCTTAAACAGCCAGATGAGAGTCAGGCATCCAGAGAAGGCTAATTATAAGCAAAGTGTGGAATCAGCATGCAGTTCAATGGCATAATAATAACAATTTCATGTCTGCCCCGCAGCCACAGAGTCAGACCTGAGGCAACAGCACTTGTGGAGTTACTTTGATGTGAAAATGATAGAAAAGCTGACTTTACTTTTCCCCCCTTTTTTATAATTTACACCAAAATATGTCAGCTCATTAGCATACGAGTGCTTCCATCACAATAGCTGCAAATCACACAAGACGTCCTGGTGTGAATAAATCAAATGTGGGCCGTGGTGATGAAGAATGTGCCAGTTGTCCCTTGTTGTTGTAGTAAATGAGCCCGGCGCCTCATCCTGACATCGCTCTACCTCCGCTACAGCAGCCTGGCACCGCAGGTTAGAGCGGCAAGTCCCCTGCAGCTGCTCATAATGTTTTTTTTTCCCTCTCTCTCTGCCACAGCCAGGCCTCCTCTCCCCCTGTGCTTTCTTCCTGCTCTGTTTCTGTAATGAGAAATTTGGCAGATCTCATCTCTTTAGTGGCTCTTTTGCCCAGGCTGTGAGCTGGAGGGGCGGGCGCTCATGTTTTTGCCTTGTTTACAAGTGACAGCGTTATTATTCTCATAAGGGCTCTGTTTCTTATCACGGTGTTGTGCCGAGTGCGCCGGTGCCGCTCTCCCCGCACGCCTTTCCTGCCAGCGCTTTTCTTCCCTTATTGACACTTGCTTGAAAATATGCATTAATTCTGGAGTTTAAAGCATGTATGGTGGTGTCTGGTCGCTGTGTTTGCTTGAAGTTGATTAATGATAGAAGCCGGCTCGGGGTCGTCCTCTGGAGACCCGCCTCGCAGGTTGTGCATGTTAACGAGCAGGAAGAGGAACACACAGCGCGCCGCTGATCCTCCGCCACCAGGAGGCTGACAACGGCAGCCTCACTCGCTCCGCAGAGTCCATTCTCTCCTCTGCTCGTCTCACGTTGTTAATCTTCCTCATTTATCAATTCTAAGTGAATACCCTGTTGTCGGTTGCCATGAAAATAAAAAGCCTGCAGCTTTGCCGGGATTGGAATACCTCAAAAGAAAGCTGAAATTATCAACAGTGCCAGTGAGGCTCCCACTCACAGCCTCGCTGAAGCCAGACATTTGTTTTTGTTCCCCTGCCTCTTCCTTTCTAAACAGAATCGGCACAGCTCGTATCACCCTGGGCCCGATTGTGTGAAAGGTTGGAAAAGAATACGGAGGAAAGTTAAGGATAGCGGACTGTAAGTTTTTCTCCTCTTCTCCTTCTCCTCCAGGCATCACATCAGCGTTAAGGAGGAACCACTGGACCCCGAAGACCACGACGGGCCCCTCTCCCTGGTAACGACTGCCAATCACAGTCCGGATTTCGATCACCACAGAGATTACGATGACGAGCAGGGCCACGACGACATGCTGTAAGGCTAGCGCCGCCCACCTCCCTCCCCAGCCTCAGAGGCCGAGGCAGTCCGGGTCATTCGGGAGACAGAAACGCTCTGCAGATAACAAACACTGAACTGCAGTCTCAGCCACTGATGACAGCTCGCAAATGTCTCCAAGTTGACTTTTTTTTAGTGCCATTAAAATACATAGCAAGAACACACATGAGAAAACACAGATGCTGCCCCCACATGAGGGCTCTTTTTTCCCTCTGATTCCTTTCTACTTTTGATTTAAGTAGCGCTTAAAACGTGAAAACAAACTTTGTTTCTACTCATCTGTCGGACAGACTGTATTTTTTTTTTTTTGGTACGGGAGGGGGGGGTGCGACGTGTCCGTGCTATGGGATAACCCTTGCCACGCAGCCAGGACGGACTGCACTCAACGGACTGCAGAAGAGGAGGGGGAGGTGTTTGTCTCCCTCTCCACCCTCCCCCACGCTTCCCCCCCCCCCCAATTCCCTCTCTCAGACACACATCTGACCAGAAACTGAAAAGAGAGAGAGGGAGAATGACTGACGTTTAATTTACACCGTGTGTATGTGTGTACGTGCGAGAGAGAGCGCGAGTGCGGACTTCTGTTCATTGTCACTGCCTTCAACACTTCTCATTGGTTTAATCCCTTCTACGGCGGGAGGGTTGTTTTTGTGCTTTTGGTTTGTGTTTTTTTGGGGAGGGGAGGGGGGGTTTAAAAAGTTATGAAATATAACATAATGTGTCTTCTCCATCATTCAGTGCTGTTCTAGATGTCTTTTTGTTTTTGTTATTGTTTCTTTGAACTGATCAGACCTCATGCCCATGCTGTGGAGATTCTGTGTGGTCAGCACTTAATGATGAATGTTTATCATTTCTTTAAACACACTCACATGAAGCAGAATGTCGCATACCAACTAGTATTTTTCTGTCATTTATTCCTCAATCTTGCCACACACAAAAAAAACCACCACTCTGATGTGTAGCCCGCCCCCACTCCACCCCACCCCAACCAGACCCCCCTCCTGCTCATGAAGTCCATTGGCAATGCACTACTCATAATGAAGGCTCTCTCCACGCATCAATGAAGTTTAATTTAAGATGCGAATGAATGACAGAGAAATCATGCAGGTTATGATTTATCCTTATGAAATTATACTTTAAAACAGCCCCTCACGGCCGAGCATGCTGAGCTGCAACAGAATTTCTGATCACTTACAAGCTCCGGGTTTTTAAAGCAAAATGAAAATGTCAGGTGTGCACCAGCGAGATAATGATTTAGACCAACTAATTGTGATTCCTGAACACAACTGTCATTGTTAATCAAACGTGTCTGCTTTTCCCCCCTTTTTTTCCAAGCTGTAATTTCATTCAGGGCTCGGAGATAAACGTGCATTCCCTGTAGTTTTATTTGTATCACGCGCATGACTAGTTTTAAGTTTCGAGTGTTAATAATTGCACACCGGACGAACGGCTCATTTTCTTTCATTAAGGGAACAAATCCCCAAGACCTGCAATAAGCGTTGCACATTCCAGCATTTGACAGTCATCGTAAAAGGGCCCAAACATACAGCACATACCATTTTATGCGAAGGTGGATGCTTCGACGTTCGGTGTCGCCCAACAAAAGTCTGTTGGGAATCCACGGGAAAAACTTCCAGCTTTGCTGAGAAGTTACATTTTAGACATGCTGAATTTCAAGACTGCAATCAACCACTTTTAATCTTTTTATTTATTATTAGTTTTGGTATTATTTGATGTTTATTTGGCTTTTTACTTTTGTTAATGTTGTTGTTGATTTGTATTAATATCATTCTGTGCCTACCAAAGATAAACTACAAAGTCAGTGATGTGTTTTCCATGCAATAGCAGATCAGGCCAAATATCTCTCCTCCGTTCTTTCGGTAGCGGCGGTGTAGCCGGCGGCAGATTGAATCGAAGGGGGGGGAGGAAAAAAAACGCTCCTCGCACTGGTGTTTTCATTCATTGTTATTAAAAAAACAGCAAACAAACAAAAAAACCAAAGGGGTGGAGCTGCATCGAGGTTTTGCAGTGACCAAATCTGAACGGGAGGCACCGACAGTCTGACTACACGATGACCAAACTAGGGAAACTTCTTATCTTTGGGCCAGTGAGCTGGGAAAAGGGAGCAGATGACACATGCAACATTAGAGCATATGTAGATAAAACATATACCGGTTAAATGGGAAAAGCTTTGCAGAGAACAATGTGAAATGGATTCTGTGCTTCAACTGGACCACACAAATGATTCAGTGTTTCTCTTCTTTTATTCCTTTACCTGTGTGTATCATTTAAAATGATTGTATGCCACTTTTTTTTTTTTTAGGGATTTTTGTTGAGATTGGCAAGACTTCATGATTGTGTTTAGTTTCTGTCAACTTATTACTTTTTATATTAAAAAACACTCCTGTCAACTAATAAGCTGGGTACAAGGTACTTTATGGCAGTTATTGTTATTGTTATTATAATTTTTTTTCCTCTAACTTCACCGCTCATTAGCTAAAAAGGAAAAAGGGCAATCTGTGGCTTCCAGAAAATGTATTTAATATCCAGGCAGCTGTGGGATGGGTCAGTTACATCCAGGCTCAGGACCGTGAGAACAGGGGCCGAGCTCATCCACAACCCCCCACCCCCCAGTCAACCGGCTGGTTTGTTTGGTATTCAGAAAGGAGGGAAAAGTGCCGGTCGGTTAGATCATTCTCAGCATGTGTAGCTTGACATTACTAAAGATAACAGCATGAGAAAACCGTTAGGATGCATACCTCAGTTCAAACCTATAGGGAATGATTCAATTAAATGAGAAAAAATAAACATTTCACTCAGTTGCACTTAGTTGTGTGTCTTGCATGTGTAGTCTGATACTGTAGAGAGAAAATGACAAAAAAATAGAAAATGAAATTAGAGCTTGTTTATCTTAAAGGTTTCATCCTTTTTTTTTCTTTTTTTTTTAAAGCCAAACCAATCCAAACCTCAGGCCTTTTGTTCATGGAAATGTCACTCGGCTGTGTGTGAGTGTGTGTGTGTGTGTGAGTGTGTGTGTGGCACCGTTCATCCTGTCAAAGTTTGTTCTCTGATGTACTGATGGGTTGTTTTAAGGGCGTTCCAACATTAGGTTGTACATACATGTCGGTATAGCCTTTGCCCCCCCGCCCCAACACACCTTTTTTTAAGATCAAAAAATACATTTGTGTTATGTTTGCTTTATCGCTTTGTATTAACTATGAAATAGCTATGAGAAAAAAAACTGCTGTATGTATTGGAATAGCAAACTGTGCTGCAAATGTATTTTACTTAGTAATCCTTGCTTTAAAAAAAACAAAAAAGGAAAAAAAAAGACAAAAAAAAGGAGTCACACAATCCATGCAGACGTCTGGGTGAGCTGGGCATGGCCAGGCTGGGGCACGGGGGATAATCTCAGATTTTGGATTACAAACTGTAATATAGAAAACAGACTTTTTCTCTGTTATCACTGACCTAAGCATTTTGTACAGATTCTTTTTTCCCTCTTTGTGTTAAGCTGTTTTTTGATACTTCCCTTTGACGGTCCAGCCGCTGCCTCGCGAGGCTGCGCGCTAAAGAAATACCTGCTCGAGTAAAATGGGGAAAAAACCCGACACTGGGCAGGACTGGTATATTTCCTCTACGAGACGGAGATATCTTGCATGACTAATCCCAGGGTCACGGAGATTTTAGGGGGGAGGGTGGGAGGGGTGGTTTAAGTGGTCAGTAGTAATATAAGGGTGTATCAATTTAATGATATTTTATATGAAATGAATAGGAAAAAAAGAAAAATATGCAGTGCCAAGATGTAAAGAATATTGTTAAATGCTGTCTTTTTTTTCTTTTTCTTTTTTTTTTTGGAGATTCATTTCACTCGCTCATTAAAAGATGTCCTTTCATGTCATGTAGGTTAAACACACACACACTCTTTGGTTAGCATCAAGATATTTATATTTTTTATCTCAAGTGGTCATTGTAAATGAGTTGAACCAAGCACAGCAGGCAGGTCAAAGGTCAGATGCTGCTGAAGACTCGGACCCTGCAAAATCCAGCTGCGTGGCATCAGACCTCCCCCCCACTCACACACACACACACACACAGCCAAAGTATATCACACACACTCACACACACTGGCACCCGAGCTAAAATGCCATTGTTTCATCCATCACCAACCATCCAGCCCGCTGTCATTCCGTCCCCCCCACCCCATCCCGTCTCTTTCTCCCACTCTCGCATCACACTTTGTTTCTTTCCAGATGGAGGGGGGGAGGGGGGTGCGCAGCCCAGGAGCTGTCTCGGTGCTCTCATCCTGCGGCATCTTCTCTTTTTCTTTATCTTTCTTGGGGGTTTTTTTCTCTCGCTCCTTTTCTTTGAAGATGTACTCTGTAGTTTTCTTTTTCCTGTTTTGTTTTTTTGAAGAGAAATATTATTGCTCATCACTTCCATCAGTCTGTAACCTCCTCATCATTCCTCGTCTGTCTGATGCAGACCACTCTGTTGTAGTCGGTGGCGATGACTGACATGAGCATTCTAAACATGCAATAAAATGCTGGTTGTTCCGACCGTTTCTTCCAAGTCTCTCGTTGTGTCTGTCCGAGTAAGGGCTTTTATTTTTTTTACTGCAACGCATGCAGTTAAACTCACAGGAGCTAAAATGCAGAATCCAGCATCGCGAGCTCGCTCGAGACTGATTTTCGCACAACAACGTGAGCCACTGCATCAAATGAGAGAGTTTTTTTTTTACCGACACACATTCATGAAATATTTCCCCACTGCAGTTTTTGTCGCCCTCAGTACCTCTTTCCTCATTACTTCGGCCTGCAGGACAGTCCCACACAGACCCTGTTTGTGTCGTCTGCTGCAGGACTCTCATCCCAGCCTAAAACATTAAATTATCTCGTAATTAAAAAGAGACAGTTAAACTGTCTTTTTCCCAACAGCAATTTAGGTAACTGCATTTGATAAGCTATAAATTGCAACCGCATTAAAAAATCCCAGAAATAATAGCGATATGGATTTGGTGACAGGAGCTAATGCTGATGACCAAGACTCCTGGTCCTGGTGTTTTTACGACAGAGGTTGCGGGGCATGTTGGCCACTAAACAGGGGACAGAGATCAAGTCTAAGCACTTTTAATCTTGTGAAACAAGCAATTACAAATAGTTGCATTGATTTGTTAAAAAGCTTTAGGTGACATAAATCGTTTCTTGCTTAGCTTATTGCTGGAAATCATAAACGTCAAGTGCATTATTAATTAAGGCCTTTGAAAGACAAGATTTAATGGAAATGATATAAAATCACAAGCAACGTTTCTGCAGGTTGTATTTCACCCAAACGCGTCTGTGTTGTTTCCCCTCACGCTCATCGCAAGCGTTCAGATAACATAAAGTGATCACAAAGGTATCAAAAGTATTTGTGTTTAAAAAAAACCCACTTAACTTATAGAGGGGCATTAACATATGA